ATCTATATCTAGCTGTCTATAATCTACATATAGCTATCTAGCATCTATTTATTATCTATAGCTATCATCTATGACCTATCTCTGTCTATCATCTATCTATCATCATTATCTATCTATATCGATCATCTATGTATCTATCATCTATCTATCTTTGAGGCAGGGCCTCACTTTATTGACCAGGGGAACTCATTCTGTAGCCCTGGATAGTGATAATGTGTTAGTAACAAGGATGAAAGACGGGGCTGTGTTACATGATGTGTAAAATACCTGGATATGCAGCTGTACTGTCAGAAACCCAGCGGGAAGGCTATGACACCTTGGATGGCGTTACTAACCATTACGCCAAGTCTTAGGAACTTCACATTGACAATGTGTTCTGGATCATCAGAACTCACCTTGGGCAGCTCCTCAATCTGATTGGCATCAAGATAGAGCTCCTCTAACGTGCGCTCAAAGTTGAAGACCTCCTTCGGCACCTGCTGAAGGCTGCAGTGGGAGTAGTCCAGCACCGAGATGATTTCTTCCTCCCCTCGGAAGCACCGGCAGGGCACCAGGCGGCCGATGAGCTTCCGTTTGGTGGTCATCTCCAGGCACTGCACTGGGAAAGAAAGACACAGCGGCTTAGTCCCGCCTCTGCCAGCAGTCCGAGCTGAGGTTGGGGTCTCCAGTGCACAGTCTACACAGGACACACATGGACTGCACCTTGAGCCCTTTAGCTGCCCGGGGTTCCCGGCTTATCCTCAGCACGCAACTTTGGATGACTGGTCAGAAGCTGGAAGCAGCGCACCGCTAATTCTGCTCAGTTCCCACTTGATACAAAGATTTGGACTATGCTTTTTAACATACAGAGGTTAAAAAGCAACATCTGCAGAGCTTTTCAAATATCACCCGAGTTCATGATGTCCTTTTTGATCCAAAGATGGCATCCAAGAGTAAATTTATCTGGGAACACTCATGTTCCACGCCCTAGACACTCTGTCCTTATAGGCTCTGTATTGTTAGAGTTACAGATGGGAACTGGATAGGTTGTTCACAATGCAGTCTACTGTGATTCACATAGAAGAAACCGAGTTTCAAACTGTCGTAGGGTTTTCTAGGATGACCCTGACACACCTTTTTCCTGTTCCTCCAAGTTAAAATGAGGAAAGGCCATGAGCTACTGCAGACTCAGTCATGACACCTTCAACACTAACCTACTCTGCTGGTTTCCATGTTTCCTGTCGTGATAAGCTTTTGAGGGCTGCTGCATTCTGTTCACCTGGTGTCTGTCTTTGTGCCCAACCTATGTTAGGTATGTTAGGTATTTACTGACTGCAGGATGAATGAGCAGATGAATGTCTGGGGCTCTGCTGTTGATCACCATCAGCTGCTGAAAATTGGCTTGAGGAAAGTTCTCATTTTGATTAAAGGTCACTGTCCTGTGAACATGTCCCCAGGAACAAGAACACAGCTTCCTGCGGTGGGTACTATTTCCTCATGCATTAGGTAAGCTCTTCAAGGAAATTTTGTCGATTTTTTATTTATTTATTATTTTTATTTTATGTGTATGTGTGTATTGCCTTGTGGGTACTATTTCCTCATGCATTAGGTAAGCTCTTCAAGGAAATTTTGTTGATTTTTTATTTATTTATTATTTTTATTTTATGTGTATGTGTGTATTGCCTGCGTGTAGGTAAGCGCACTTGTGTCATGCAATGCCCGTGGAGGTCAGAGTCCCCTGGGACTGGAGCTACAGACAGTTGGTAGCTGCCATGTTGGTGCTGGGGTTCGAACCTGGGTCTTCTGCAAGAATAACTAGTGCTCTTAACCGCTGAGCCATCTCTCTAGCCTCCAGGACTATTACTCTTGTACAACAGCTCAGACAAGAAACAAATTTTCTGTTAGCTGATTTAGCATATATATTATCAAATCTTAACTGAGGGCTGGAGAGATGGCTCAGGGGTTAATAGTACTAATTGCTCTTGCAGAGGACCTGGGTTCAGTTCCCAGCACAGAGTTTGATGACTACACAATTAGTATCACGTGACCTTTAATTTGAACCTTCCACTCTGTGTGTGTGTGTGTGTGTGTGTGTGTGTGTGTGTGTGTGTCGTCAACCTCGGATGTCGTTCCTCAGGAGCCATTCATTTTTTCCTTTTTTCAAGCAATGTCTCTCCTTGGCCTGGAGTTTGCTGAGCAGACCAGGCCAGCTGGCCAGAAAACCCCAGGGATGTGCCCGTCTCTGCATCTGGGTGCTGAGATTATAAGCCTGCACCACCACAGCTGTCTTGACAAGCATCCTGGGGATTGAACCCAGCTCCTCATGCTTGAGTGGCACTTTACCAGTTGATCTATTTCCCCAGCCTATTAATCAGTTTTTTTATAGAATAAGAAACAATTGCTTAGTGGTTGGAGAGAAGGCTCAGCTTAGAGCACTTGCTGCTGAGGACTGGAGCTTGGTTCCCAGAATCCACACAAGATGGCTCACAACTGCCTGTAACCCTAGCTCCATGGGGTCTGGTGCCCTTTCCAGGCTATTCAGGTAACACCTTCACACATACATGTTCTCTCTCTCTCTCTCTCTCTCTCTCTCTCTCTCTCTCTCTCTCTCACACACACACACAGCTGAAATAGAAATTAGTGATTTATTATTCAAAAAGTTACACAGCCTTTTTTTTCCTTTAAATTGCATAGTTTAACTCATATTTGGAAGCAACCAGGTAGAATATACTTAACAGCTGTTGAATTTTCCAGCCAAAGCTGTCCTTCTGCCTTGTTTAACTTCTGAAATTAGTGCAAGGATATTCTGGGGACAAGTTCTTGAATAAGCACTTACAGATGGTTATTTCCACATGCAGAAGCTAGCTAAAAAAATTAAAAAGATGATTTTCCTTCTCCATGACCTTTTATCACTTAAACTCCTACAATTTCTGTTTCTGAATCACAAGACTCTGTGACCATTGTTTCATCTAACTTTACTGAAGTTGTGGGATTGTGGGGTATCTTCATCTCTACCTGGGATTAAGCATCCCTTAATGCCTCTAGCAAATGTGTGACATCTCCTAGTAAGTGTGTGCTGAAACGCTTGTAGTTATAAGGATGAATGATGGTCATGAGAAGGGAAGTGGCAGACGGGGAAGACAGCCATAGATGGAATCCAGAGACCTCACTGTCTTTGGAGAATCCCAGACTTTTAATGTGAGCAAGGTGTACCCACGTAGGCCATCTCCAGTGAAGCAGAGCTGACCGAGGCACAAACCTGTTTCTCTCTGACTCGCAGACCAGCACTGAATCAATGGTTAATGCTTCCTGTGCCAAACGCGGAGGAAAAGCAGAATACCCAGATCTGCCCCAGATATGCCCTTAGCTATTTTGTAGGTGTCCGCTGTCCATCAGAATTTCAGAGATCAGTTCGTGTAGGCCTGCTTGCCTTGCATTGTAACTGAAGGCATCTCTGCGTCCTCTCTTCCTCACAATGCAATGAGTTGTCCCTGTCCCAACAGTTCTCTTCCTCTATTCACTCTGAATTCCTAGATTGCCACCACCTCCTCCTCCTCTTCCTCATTGTCGTCGTCCTCCTCCTCCTCTTCCTCCTCCTCCTCCTCTTCCCCCTCCTCCTCTTCCTCCTCCTCTTCCCCCTCCTCCTCTTCCTCCTCTTCCCCTCCTCCTCTTCCTCCTTGTCCTCCTTGTCCTCCTCCTCCTCATGCTCCTCCTCTTCCTCCTCCTCTTCCTCCTCCTCCTCCTCTTCCTCCTCCTCCTCTTCCCCCTCCTCCTCTTCCTCCTCTTCCCCTCCTCCTCTTCCTCCTTGTCCTCCTCCTCCTCATGCTCCTCCTCCCCTCCTCTTCCTCCTCTTCCTCCTCCTCTTCCTCTTCCTCCTCCTCCTCTTCCCCCTCCTCCTCTTCCTCCCCTTCCACTCAGTCCCTTTCCTGAATAATCTCCATGTCCTCCTGGACTCAGCCAGAACTTCATTCCTGTCAGAGCCATGATTTGCCTTAAACCCTTAAAACATGGAGCATACTGAAATTCCCACATCGCAGGCTGATTATGCACCTCTTGGCTGGAAGGGCAGATTTCTCCTCCTTGTCTTCTAAAGTGGATTGATCTTTTGTCTTGTAAAGCTGTTCCTTTTATGGTTTATTACTGAGTAGTGGTATCCTTCTAGTCCTTCTCATCCTTTTCCATCACCTGCCTAGAGCAAATTACCTCTTGGTGACTTTGATGCCCTCTTCATGAATCCTTACAATCATGTCCTCTTGATCCTGCAGCAAGTGCTCTTGACCACTGAGACATCTTTCTTGGTTTTTACATGTGCATTTCACCAATTGTTTCCTGACCCTCTCTTCTTGGTAGGTCACACACGTGTAACCCCCACTGTCAGAAGTTCTCACCAACATTGTGTCCTTGCTCACATCCGAAGCTGCAGCTTCTGTTGGCCCATACAGAGCTGTCGCCCGGGAGTTTACCTTCAGTGTCACCCCGTCACGTCTGCACTTCTCTGCTGCAGCTTCTATTTTCCACATCTTCTTCCAAGATTTATTTCTTCAATTTGGCAGAAGGTAACAGCCATTTACTTGCTGAGAAAAGATTTATAGTAGGTATAAGAGATCCTGTATGTCTGAAAATGGCTTTATTTTACCCACAAAGGATTGCAGTTCAGCTGAATATATAGTTCCAGGCTAGAAATACTTTTTCTTCATAAATTTGGAGGCACACATTTTTTTCTCGCTCATAAGAAAACTCACTTCTATTCCTATTCAAAGATCCCATTTCACGCCTAACTCCTCCAGCAGAGAATTTCAGAGTTTTGTTTCATCCTCCGTATTAAACAATATACTCTGATATACACTCTGAGCTTTTTTCTTAATTTGTTATGCCTGATTCTGATGGGCTCTCTCAAAACCCTTACAATTCCGTTAAAGTTTGTTATTAATGGATAATTTCTTCTTCCTTAAGGCATCTTCTCCCTTGCAGTTGTTAGTCAGCTGGATGAGAGAACTGTGTGCTCTACCCACAAGTGAGTTTATTCTCTTGTAATTTCTACATCACTGTTCTTTGATTCTATTTTCTGGGAAACTTTCACGTTTATCTTCTAAACCCAAACAGCAACTTGCCTTGTATCCTGATGGTACAGTTCATGCCAGAAGAGTTGTTTGTTGTTTCCTGGATACTCCTTTGCCAGAGCATCCTGTGTGTGTTTTATGTTACCACACCATCTTCATTTCTCTTAGAAGACGTTAACTACTGGTTTTTTAATACGTTTCTTCCAGTCTCCTGTACAGATCCTGAGTTCTATCTTCTATTTGTTCGTTTCGTTCATCATCTCTGAGCATATATAGGTTTTCCATAAACATCTGGTAATCCATGGTTGTCTTCCAATAATAAATGAAGCTCTAGAAAGATAACCAAAGCTTTGTGTGCACGGCAGGTTTCACTGCAACATGAGCTGCCAGCAAACCAAAGAAAACTCTAGAGAAGACCATTTTGGGGATATTCTAGTCGTCTACCCAGGCTCAAGCCGTGCTGCGTTCTACACTGAGTATCTCTGTGTGCATGTATAGATGTGTGCACATGTTTGTATGTATGTATATATGTGCACATGTATGTAGAGGGCAGAGGTCA